CCCTGCCACTTCACCCTGGGTGGGGGTTTCCCCGTGGCGTTGCATTCCAGAGTGGCCTCCGCGTCCCGGACCACGGAGACCTGTGCGGGGGGCTCCCGGGGGCCAGCGATCTGCGGGGGAACTGGGGTGGGGAGAAAGTCGCTGTGGCCGCCGGGCAGCAAGCACTCACATCAGGCCCCAAGCTGGCCTACGTTCCCCCCCGGCCACTCCCTGGCCGTGTGACCTTGGTCAGGTGACCTCATCTCTCTGGGCCTCCATGTTCCATCCTTATAAAGGGGCCATACGGGCTCCACTCCTGCCTCTATCTAACCCTGGGGTCCCGGGGAGGGGCCTGCTGTTTGGAAAACAAGCTCTCAGCACAGCCCGGAAGATGCGGGAGGCTTCCTTCCTCAGAAACCAGGCCTTCCCGGAGCTCAGACAGTCGCGGGGAGCCGGCCGGGGCGGGGTTACTCTCTCCAAAATGCTTTTCATTGGGGGGTATAAGGACACATTTGTAATATCTTAATCAATAAAGGGGGGGAAAACGTAAAACAAAATAAGTGTTTTCTGGTGATATAGATTAAACGGAAATTGAACTATAAAAAAAAATTGCTTTTCTTGGTCTTATTTCCTAGGCTGAGATATTTCATCTCATCATTGCAGGACGAGTAGCCGGAACTTAGGTTTCCCTATGCACAGGAGCTTCATAGAAATTCTACATTCCTTTCCGCTTCTGTTCCAAGTTGTGTTTTTCCCTCTGGGCCACTGGGGGCTCTTGGGGTCACGTTGCCGCTCTCAGGCTTAGGGCCAGAGCCGGAGCCGCAGGAAGCTGGCTGGGAGGGCGGTTCGTGAGATGCCCGGAATCTAAGAGGCCAGGGAAGTGCTCTCATTATCGCTGTTCCTGTCTCGGCTTGGATCCCGGGGGTGGGGTCTCCCCTGCCTGCCACCCTCCGGCCCCTTCTGCCTGGCTCAGGTCACCCCGGCCCGGCTCACCATGCACCTCCAGCTGCTGGTCCTGGCTGCTGTTTCCGGCCACGTTGCTGCACTCACAGGTGTACGTTCCCTCCTGGGCCGGCTGGGCTGGTCCCAGGTACAGCAGCCGCCCCACCGCCGACACCTGTCCGAGGCCGGCCCCCTCCCTGGGCACGGGCTGACCTGGATGCAGCAAGAAAAAGCCCCTGGTTCCCAGTCCTTCCACCGGGAACACTTGTCCCCCCACCGTCCCGGCCAACTCCGGCAGGAGGAGGCTGACCCTGCCCTCGACGGGTGGCCCCGCCCCAGAGCCCAGCGGAGATGGAGGTGGGTGGGCCTTCAGCCCCAGGGGTGGGGGTCCTGACATTGTCCTCAGTCCCATTCTGCTCGGTCCCCAAGTCCGCTGGGCACCCCAGCCCCTTCCCAGCCAGCAACCCTACCGTCCTTCCTCCAGGTGATCTTGGGGAAAGGGACACCCCGACATTCGCAGGACAGCCTGGCGGGGTGTCCCTCGGTCACAGTCAAGATGCGGGGCTCCCTCGAGGGGAACACTGGAGGGACTAAGAGAAGAGAGGGTGTGAGGGGGTGGGGGGCTGGGAGGGGAGCGGGCTGCACCCTGGGACCCAGGCAAGGCAGCAGTCCCCCAGGGCATGTGAGCTGGCTGCGCAGGGGCAGGGCAGGGGGGACCGCAGCCCAGCCCACGAGACCCTCACCCCAGACGTTGAGGTTGTAGTGTTTCTCCGAGCGGCCGGCCTGGTTCAGCGCCTCACAGGTGTAGCGGCCTGCGTCCCACACCTCTGCCCTGTCCACCTGCCGACAGCGACGGGAGCCATCAGCAGGGGCAGCACACAGCTGGGGTGCCCGGGACGGACTGTGTGACTGTGGGCAAGCCCCTTTACCTCACTGTGCCCAACCTCCCCACCTGGAACCTGGCACCTCCCGCACCCCGAAGTTTCCAGAAGCCGCTGCCTGCGGTGACCTCCTGTGGGTCAGGCGCAGGGACTGGGCTCCCTAAGTGGCAGCCCTGCCAGCCACATCCGCAGCCCAGCCCCGTTCTGACAGAACAGCCCAGAGGAGAAGGTGGAGGATGAAGAAGGGTGGAGTGGGGGGGGGGGGGGCCCTGTCCTCATGGTGGTGACGGCTGCGGCTCCGAAGAATGAAGGGCAGGAGAGGCAGGCATTCCAGACAGAGCAAACCACAGGAGGTGCTCAGAGTCGGGGATGAGCATATCACAAGGTGTAGGGGGGTGGGAGGAGGAGGAGCAGGCTGGAGTGGAAGGTTCTCCCCAACAGCAGGAGAGGCACCGCCGCTCCCGGAGCTGAAGTGGATGAGCTGTACTCTGGGGCAGGGTGGGGCCTCACGGGCCTGCCTCTGGGAACCCTCCCAGCCTCCCAGGAGAGAGGCACCAGTGTGTTTGCAGGTGAGAGACCCCAGGCCAGTGTGTCAGGACGCCAGGGGGGAGGCGCAGCCGGAGGAGGCGGAGCTCAAGTTTAAATCTAGGCTGCGCCAGATGCCCATACAGGGGCTTAAAGTCGAGGAAGCTTTGGAACAAAGAGTGAAAAACAGGTAGAAAGAGAGCTGCTGGCTTCGGTGGGGGCCGGGGGGGCTGAGGGGCCCAAAGGCTCAGTCCTGGGCCTTCGCTCTCAGTCCCCATTCGGCTGGAAGCAGCTCCGACAGGTCGGGAGGCTGCGCCCTGGGTGTTGGGTCTGGAGGGGCCTGCAGGGCCCACGCAGCTGAACTGACCGCGTAGGGCACCCAGGGGCCCGCCCTGCCCGGGCTCTGCTCACACACCTCCAGCAAGGCCTTGTCTGCAGAGAGGCGGGGGCCGGGCCGCAGCTCCAGGGGGCGGCCGTC